GTGTGTCTATTTTATCCCTCTGTGTGTCTTTTTATCCCTCTGTGTGTCTCTTTATCCCTCTACGTGTCTGTTTATCCCTCTGTGTCTCTTTATCCCTCTGTGTGTCTCTTTATCCCTCTGTGTGTCTGTTTGCCCTCTGTGTGTCTGTTTATCCCTCTGTGTGTCTGTTTATCCCTCTGTGTGTCTATTTTATCCCTCTGTGTGTCTCTTTATCCCTCTGTGTGTCTGTTTTATCCCTCTGTGTGTCTGTTTCCCTCTGTGTGTCTCTTTATCCCTCTGTGTGTCTGTTTATCCCTCTGTGTGTCTGTTTATCCCTCTGTGTGTCTGTTTATCCCTCTGTGTGTCTGTTGTTTATCCCTCTGTGTGTCTGTTTATCCCTCTGTGTCTGTTTATCCCTCTGTGTGTCTGTTTATCCCTCTGTGTGTCTGTTTATCCCTCTGTGTGTCTGTTTATCCTCTGTGTATCTGTTTATCTCTGTATCCTGTTTATCCCTCTGTGTGTCTGTTGTTTATCCCTCTGTGTGTCTGTTTGCTCCCTCTATTGTGTCTATTTTATCCCTCTGTGTGTCTGTTTATCCCTCTGTGTGTCTGTTTATCCGTCTGTGTGTCTGTTTATCCCTCTGTGTATCTGTTTATCCCTCTGTGTGTCTGTTTATCCCTCTGTGCGTCTGTTTATCCCTCACTGTGTGTCTGTTTATCCCTCTGTGTGTCTGTTTATCCCTCTGTGCGTATGTTTATCCCTCTGTGTGTGTGTTTATCCCTCTGTGTGTGTGTTATCCCTCTGTGTGTCTATTGTTTATCCCCTCTGTGTGTCTGTTTATCCCTCTGTGTGTCTGTTTATCCCTCTGTGTGTCTGTTTATCCGTCTGTGTGTCTGTTTATCCCTCTATTATCTGTTTATCTCTGTGTCTGTTTATCCCTCTGTGTGTCTGTTTATCCCTCTGTGTGTCTGTTTATCCCTCTGTGTGTCTGTTTATCCCTCTGTGTCTGTTTATCCCTCTGTGTGTCTGTTTATCCGTCTGTGTGTCTGTTTATCCCTCTGTGTGTCTGTTTTATCCCTCTGTGTGTCTATTTATCCCTCTGTGCGTCATTTTATCCCTCTGTGTCTATTTATCCCTCTGTGTGTCTGTTTAGCCCTCTGTGTGTCCTGTTTATCCCTCTGTGTGTCTGTTTATCCCCTCTGTGTCTGTTTATCCCTCTGTGTGTCTGTTTATCCCTCTGTGTGTCTGTTTATCTTCCCTCTGTGTATCTGTTTATCTCTGTGTCTGTTTATCCCTCTGTGTGTCTGTTTATCCCTCTGTGGAGTCTGTTTATCCCTCTGTGTGTCTGTTTTATCCCTCTATGTGTCTGTTTATCCCTCTGTGTGTCTGTTTATCCGTCTGTGTGTCTGTTTATCCCTCTGTGTGTCTGTTTATCCCTCTGTGTGTCTGTTTATCTCTGTGTGTCTATTTATCCCCTCTGTGTGTCTGTTTATCCCTCTGTGTGTCTGTTGTTTTATCCCTCTGTGCGTATTTTTATCCCTCTGTGTGTGTGTTTATCCCTCTGTGTGTGTTTATCCCTCTATTGTGTCTATTTATCCCTCTGTGTGTCTGTTTATCCGTCTGTGTGTCTGTATCTCTGTGTGTCTGTTTATCTGTCTGTGTGTCTGTTTATCCCTCTGTGTATCTGTTTATCTCTGTGTGTCTGTTTATCCTCTGTGTGTCTGTTTATCCCTCTGTGTGTCTGTTTATCCCTCTGTGTGTCTGTTTATCCCCTCTGTGTGTGTCTGTTTTATCCCTCTCTGTGTGTCTGTTTATCCGTCTGTGTGTCTGTTTATCCCTCTGTGTGTCTGTTTATCCCTCTGTGTGTCTGTTTATCCCTCTGTGTGTCTGTTTATCCCTCTGTGTGTCTGTTTATCCCTCTGTGTGTCTGTTTATCCCTCTGTGTGTCTGTTTATCCCTCTGTGTGTCTGTTTATCCCTCTGTGTCTGTTTATCCCTCTGTGTGTCTGTTTATCCCTCTGTGTCTATTTTATCCCTCTCTATTATTGTATGTTTATCCTATGTGTGTGGTTTATCCCTCTGTGTGTCTGTTTATCCCTCTGTGTCTGTTTATCCCTCTGTGTGTCTGTTTATCCCTCTGTGTGTCCTGTTTACTCCCTCTATTGTGTCAGTTTATCCCTCTGTGTGTCTGTTTATCCCTCTGTGTGTCTGTTTATCCCTCTGTGTGTGTGTTTATCCCTCTGTGTGTGTTTATCCCTCCGTGTGTCTGTTTATCCCTCTGCGTGTCTGTTTATCCCTCTGTGTGTCTATTTATCCCTCTGTGTGTCTGTTTATCCCTCTGTGTGTCTGTTTATCCCTCTGTGTGTCTGTTTTATCCCTCTGTGTGTCTGTTTATCCCTCTGTATGTCTGTTTATCCCTCTGTGTGTCTGTTTATCTCTGTGTGTCTGTTTATCTCTGTGTGTCTGTTTATCCCACTGTGTGTCTGTTTATCACTCTGTATGTCTGTTTATCCCTCTGTGTGTCTGTTTATCCCTCTGTGTGTCTGTTTTATCCCTCTGTGTGTCTGTTTATCCCTCTGTATGTCTGTTTATCCCTCCTGTGTGTCTGTTTATCCCTCTGTGTGTCTATTTATCCCTCTGTGTGTCTGTTTATCCCTCTGTGTGTCTGTTTATCCCCTCTGTGTGTCTATTTTATCCCTCTGTGTGTCTGTTTATCCCTCTGTATGTCTGTTATCCCTCTGTGTGTCTGTTTATCCCCTCTGTGTCTGTTTATCCCCTCTGTGTCTATTTTATCCCTCTGTGTGTGTCTGTTTATCCCTCTGTGTGTCTGTTTATCCCCTCTGTGTGTCTGTTTATCCCCTCTGCGTGTCTGTTTATCCCACTACTGTGTGTCTGTTTATCCCTCTCTGTCTGTTTATCCCTCTGTGTGTCTGTTTATCTCTGTGTGTCTGTTTATCCCCTCTGTGTGTCTGTTTATCCCTCTGTGTGTCTGTTTATCCCTCTGTGTATCTGTTTATCCCTCTGTGTGTCTATTTATCTCTCTGTGTGTCTGTTTATCCCCTCTCTGTGTCTGTTTATCCCTCTGTGTGTCTGTTTATCTCTCTGTGTGTCTGTTTATCCCTCTGTGTATCTGTTTATCCCTCTGTGTGTCTGTTTATCCCTCTGTGTGTCTGTTTATCCCTCTGTGTGTCTGTTTATCCCTCTGTGTGTCTGTTTATCCCTGTGTGTGTCCTGTTTATCCCTCTATTGTCTGTTTATCCCCTCTGTGTGTCTGTTTTATCCCTGTGTGTGTCTGTTTATCTCTGTGTGTCTGTTTATCCCTGTGTGTGTTTTATCCCTCTGTGTGTCTGTTTATCCCCTCTGTGTGTCTGTTTATCCCTCTCTGTGTCTGTTTATCTCTGTGTGTCTATTTTATCCCTCTGTGTCTGTTTATCCCTCTGTGTGTCTGTTTATCCCTCTGTGTGTCTGTTTATCCCTCTGTGTATCTGTTTATCCCTCTGTGTGTCTATTTTATCCCTCTGTGTGTCTATTATTTATCCCTCTGTGTGTCTGTTTATCCCTCTGTGTGTCTGTTTATCCCTCTGTGTGTCTGTTTATCCCCTCTCTGTGTGTCTGTTTATCCCTCTGTGTGTCTGTTTATCCCTCTGTGTGTCTGTTTATCCCTCTGTGTGTGTCTGTTTGTATCCCTCTGTGTGTGTCTGTTTATCCCTCTGTGTGTCTACATCCCTCTGTGTGTCTGTTTATCCCTCTGTGTGTCTGCAGCTTGTGTGTGTGTATGAGTTTGTATAGTTTAAATTTCGACAATAGTGCAGCCTGGTCTAGAGTGCCGTTTATATGACCCGAGGTTACTGTTTATGTTGCAGAAGAGCGCCACTGCAGGCAAAGAGCAAGGCGAACGTGCGTCTGATGATCACTTCTGGGTGACAAGGTACGCGAGGTGTTGTTGATGACTTATGCTGTACTGTTATCGTCACCACACGGTAGAAATACATGATTCTTACCACCAATACCAAAATAACCATCAGATTGACCCGGACTACGCACGCTTGAGAGGCGCATGTAGACAGGGACACACACACACACACACACACACACACACACACACACACACACACACACACACACACACCACTCCCATTTAGGGCACCCAGCTGCATCATCCTGCGGTCTTCAGAGCCACAAAGTGATAAGTGTTGCTGGCTGCGAGAAACAGGTAGTAATGACCTGAGTACCGTACTATATTAACTTACACCAAACCAAATCATAAGACTAATAAGGCTTCAGTGGTCAGCTAGCAAACCTAATCTAACCTAACCAAACCTAACCAAACCTAAACTAACCTAATCTAACCTAGCAAACCTAACCAAGCCTAACCTAACCTAACGAAACCTAACCTAACCCCCCAGAAGAAGGGCATTAGAGAGTTTAATCCCCAGGTGAAATAATCTAGGTGCCTAGCCGTCACGTCATCCACTAATTATGAATCTCCTCTGTGATTGGCGTAATGGCGCAAATAGGGTAACAACCTCTAGGATAAAGGAGGCGAAGGCTGACTGAAAGCTTAGCTCCCGGGTGTAGAAGCCAGATGGAAACACCTCTACACTGGCGAACAGCTGACGTAACCTTGGCAGTGTAAACAATGACTTGACAAAAAGCGCCTCAGGTAATTGTTTCTAGGCCAAGCACACCTGACATATTCCCATGTGTAGGTGAAAAAAGATAGATAGTAGATAGATAGATAGATAGATAAATATAAAAAGGGAAAGATGGAAGGGAGGGGAGGGTGGTAGACAAGGAGGTGTTGAGGGCGTTGAGGGAGAGAATGAGAAAGAAAGGGAGGAGAAGACTGTGGGTAATGGAGAGGTGGGACCTCGGGGTGACAGAAGGAGGGAGGGTAGGGGAGGAGAGGAGACTGAGAGAGAGGAGGAGGCTGAGAGAGGAAGAGGAAGACTGGGGGAGGGGAGGAGGCTGGGAGGTTGGGGAAGAACGTGGTTACAAGAGAGGTGACACAAGACGCACGTGCTCGGCCTCATAACACTGCCAGACGTCACACCATGAAGAGGCTTTCACTCACACTCCTCCTCCTCCTCCACGGTTCGTCCTCCCTCACTCACAGTTAGTTGCTATCATTACTAAACTAAACGTATATGGGGGTGATTCAAGACGTATTTCCTCGTGTATATGAAAAAAGGAATTTAATTCTCAAGGAGAGCATCAAGGCACTGGTCAGGTAATACAGATACATATGCACTGTCTAAGTTAACCATCTGTCGAGGCGCCCACAGAAAAATGACCATAACTTTAAGAATCTTTTTTAAATATAGTGTTAACAAACCATGGATGATCCCTCGATAGAAAATTGAAAGAAGGTACTGTATGCCCAGAAAAAAACACAATATATATAGTCTAGATCCAAGAACAACCTATTCTTCATTTTAGGAAAAAACAAGTGAAGAAAACCTAGCTATCAAGAAGCCAGACCTGAGGAACTCTCGTACGTAAACTAAGAAGGTCATCCTCTATAGCCGTCACATGTACACATCATGAGGGTTCAGGAATTACCGTAGCTATATAGTTTCTTTTAAGTCACTAACATTATTTGGGAGATCATAAAAGTTAACAGAAATCTCATATACAAATTTAAAAGGATTACTTAAATCATTTGGATAAAGACACCAATTGATTATGGTGATTCAGAGTTAAGCTGTTCATACTTATGATTCACGCCGACAAACAAATTAATTAACAAGGTACAGTCCAAACATAAGTTCGCCTCCTCCCTGGGCCTCCCACACTGAAGCAGTATCGACACGAAATGATATAAAACAGTGGCAGTGATAGATGCCTATGGATTTCCTATCACACTAGCACCAGACAACAGCCGTTGTCACTTGGGAGGTTTTTGTCAGCCTGGGTCATGACAAAACGCATCCGGACCTGGCGGAGGGGCACAGGTATTAAATAAATGTGGCGGTGATAATGTTGACAGATCATCCAAAATATTATAATTAAATGACAGAACAAATTAAACGTAGCCATTTTCCCTAAACCTTCACAAAACAGCAAATTAAAAATGATGAAATCTTAAGTGGAAGTCTGATGGTTTAAAAATTATTTCGCTAAACCAAGAAAGATTTAGTTAGGGTACTCACAGTTCTCTGCTGTGGCTGCCAGGAAATGACCTGCCTCCGCTGGCGGGATGCAACCTAAGGGAACAATAGCACGGTAATGATAATAATAATAATAATAATAATAATAATAATAATAATAATAATAATAATAATAATAATAATAATAATAATAATAATAGCAGTAGTATTACGGCGTTGTCTAATTGTCTTTGTAACTGTGTCGCTAATTACTATGGACATCAGAATTAGAAGCAATGCTCATCCTAGTCCAGGTCGAGTAAAAACAAATATTACACAACAAATACATAATAAAAGCATAAAAACAACAATTACAATAACAATAAAAAAATCTTTAGCAAATATTACGTTAGTTTGACCAGCAGTTATCACAGAAGCTGACTTAGTTCAAACTTCTGTAAGATATATTTTTGGGACTTTAAACTCTAAGCAAAGACAAGACCAATTAATACTATATAATAGCGGATGGTATCTTAAAATGACTAAGACACGGAGGTAGTACTAGGTTGTCCTCGGTCAGTGTACTAGGAAGGTTAATAAAGTAAATTATCCCTCGGCCTTTAAACACGTTGAGTGAACAGTCCCTCAGGCACCATTTGTTGAGAGAGATCATGATCCAGTTCGTGGTTTGTACAGTATAGAGGTGTAGGTTCACTATAGTTACGTCGGAACAATGCCAATTTAGAGGTTGTCTTGTATCAGGAATACAGCAGAAGTGACCCCTCAATAGTTGTGTCGACACATTAGTTACCCAAATTACATCTCTGAGTCTCACCTATTTACAAAAGTCCAGCAACTATAAAAAAATTACGCCCTCGGTATCTACAGGAGCAAAATAGTCTTATCAGATTAAATTCGTGAGATAACAACAGTTGCTAAAGTCTGTGGTTTAGAATAGACCAGGTGTATCAGTGTGTGGTAATAAGTGGCTGTTATCTGGCCAGCATGAGATATTACAGGGCTAAAGCTATATCATCTCCAAGACGCATCAACCGGGTCGCGCTCGTATGGTGGACAGTGTTGTCTTTTGTAGATATTTACTTTAATGTGTAAATAAGTATATCCAGAGCATAATTCGAGAACAGTAATAACTACCAAGTTCACCTTTACAACCTCTAAAACTTTTATATTTTCCGGATCATAAGGTCATGGGCACGGCCTGGCACCGTCCTTGAGTGCGGTCTACTTCAATGTATGGTGACTCTTCAACCTCATTTACAGCTTGGGCGTGGGGAGCAGTGGTGCACCGGCCGCGGCTACTGGCGGCAGGGTCGTGGGAGCCGCCACAGTTGGGCAGTTTCATCATTGACGGAGACGACGCAACCCCGGGGGAATTCCCACACCAGGTGTATATATATATATATGCTTACCCCCATAGTGAAGAGGGGGGATGGGACGCTAGCACAAGGAAAGAAGGGAGGGGAGCACGGAGGAGGGGGGACTCCCACGTGATAAGTTAACATCAAGGGTCAGGTAATAGGGGTAAGAGAGGGGACCTACCAAGTATTGGTACCACTATCATCGAGAGGTGAAGGGCGGGATGGTGGCAGATGGAGAGCAGGAGGGGTGATCCTGTGTAAGAACCTCGGTACTGTATGTCTAGGTCAGTAAGAGATGAATGGAGGTGAGGAGAGAACTGGAGAACAAGGTGTTGTTGTTGGTTCATGGCAGGGGAGACACAGGGGTAGGCTACTATTGACAAAATTTAAAACGTAGTCGATTGCACATCCTAATCTCTTTTTAAATCTGGGTGTCTGGGATCTCATGAAGATTATGAATCTCAGCTTATCTCACCTGATTAATAAACACCCTCACGCTAAATGGGAGAGTCGGGTTGAGTTAGCTTAGGTTAGCATCAGGGTGTTTACTCATCCGCATGCGGCAGAACGGGTTTACCAAGATTAGTGATGTAATCAACAGCCGTATAATAAAATAAGACTTAAACAGCTTCATCACGTAATAGAAATTTACAATGAAATTAAACTCATCATTTGTTGATTCGTGTTCGATCTCTTGTTACTTGTTTCCATATAACATCCTAATTAAACATTGTCAGAAAATATTTGAACTTATTTCACAAATTCTAATTCTTTCTTAGTCACACTAAAACTACCCGAGGCCCTCTTGCTCAAACTAAGGAATTTTGCATCCATTTTTATTACACGTTTGACCTCCACCTGCACACTTCACTGAACAATGTAAACATTCCACTGCTTAACTAGCAATACAGCATCTACACAAAGCACCTGCCACCCAAATTTATATAAACTTCAAATAGCTATTTTCACCCTGAACACTTGTACAGCATTTTCTTCTATTAGCAAGAATTTTGAAAACGTCATATATTGAATTCCTTCTAATTGGAGACATGAGTATACACATATCTGGCTCACCATAATTACGACATACAGATGAGGTGAAACTGACGTTGAAATTGCGCCGATAACATACCATGGCCAGGTGGCATAGTCTCCCACAGGTCTGGGTGAAAAAATCATGTATCATGGAAAAACCTGACTCTGAATTTTAAATTTATGTTAAGTCTAAGAGCCATTCAACATTGCATTCATATTGGATGATGAGTTGACGATGTTCTGGTCTTGTTCTACTAACTTTACAGAGACAACACGTAAATAATGTCAACCATTCCTTTATCATCTGTTTTACAGATTGCTTTCCAGGTTCATAAATACATGTTCACTTTCCACCACGGGGTACATGACGCTGGTGAAAATGTTGATAACCTCACTAAGTGTTAAAAAATGTATGCATATATAATTGCATAAGGAAACCCGACATCAATGTTAACTGTTATTTTCAATTAAATACATTTACTAAACTGGTGAGATAGGTGTGGTCTCCAGCACGTGATGACCAGGTGTGGTGTTGCAGGTGTCGGTGCAGCGGGAGAGCTCCCTGGGACTAATACATGTGTGTGGCGGCACCATCGTCTCTGTGAGGTTTATCCTGACGGCAGCACACTGTGTCAGCGGGTAGGTGGTGATGGTCTTTTTACATCACAAATAATTTAAGTAAAAGGCATCGGTTTTATCTGAGCCTCCCTGGAGTTACAACTCTGTAGATACTATGCTTGCCCTCTTGGTATGTGACCCAAGTGCCATTTACAACTACCATGGGTGACTTTAGGATACAAAACCACCGGAATAATTTTTTTTTATTGTTTTCCATTACTATATTAACATCATCATCCTACAAACTAATATCTCTAACAATGAAAACAAAAAAATATATACATCTCAAGTACTGTATATTATTCAGTAAAGGTAGAACTTCTAGTAAGAAAATCAAGAAAAACAATAACATATTATGCTTAAAGAGCACTGAAAAGTACCGGTAAGAATTTCATCCCCGGAATAATGGGCAGCGATAATAAAGTGACCCCACATATTAAACCCTTCGTGAATAAAAACCCACTGTACAATATCAAGAAGGTGCATCTACAGTAGGTGTACCGGCAGCCTAACCTTACCTTGCTGTTTCTGTTATTACTGCGCTTCAACAACAAAAGTCTTTAAACAACATTAAAAATTATGAGAGAAATATTTGTGTAACTTTTTTTGTTTTTGTTTTTACGAAGATTAGCCCACCAGGGTCTCTAACCCACATCGGGGGGGGGGAAAAACATGTAATAATAATATTATTGGCTTACACACACATAAAACACATAATAATAATAATAATAATAAATGAAAAAAGATCAAAAGCGAGAAACGATATATGTACAGTATGTTGTGTTGTCAGTAGTAAGAGAACAATTGAGACCCTGCAATTGTGTGTAAATGAGGCAGAAAGTCAGATCAGCAACCTGGGACTTGATCACAATTTTCGTGATACCATATGGCAGCAGGGTCTACCATTAGACAAACACATTATGCTTCCAATATCTTCCCAGGCGGTAGTACCTTCCTGTTTGGTAGCTGCCTACTACCTATACTACCCAGGTACTGAGAAGTCTATCTGGCTTATTACCGGAACTATCACATGAATATTATAATGAATTTTAAATTATTCATTTCTGAGGGGAAAGGTATAGGTGGGCCATCTGCACTTATATTTACAATTTACAATACGTTGCTTATACGCAATTTGCGCCAGAAACGCCATTGAGGAAAAATGTCTTAGAATTGTCAAAATTACTGATTGCAACTCAACTATAAAATTCACGTAATTTGTTTAGTGGCAACAAGTGAAATAGTACCGAAATTTTCTTATGCATCAGTCCATAAACTGTTGTAATTAATTGAATAAAGACATACATAAAGTTATGGCCTTAATATCGTTTCTCACTCGATTTTTTTTTTCGTTTTTGTATTTGTTTTATGGTTTTTATTATTATGATTATTATTATCATTATTATTTTATTTTTATTTTCATTAATTTAATATTAATTTCATTAATTATTGTAATGATAATAATTGTTATTATTATTATTATTATTACTATTATTATTATTATTATTATTATTATTATTATTATTATTATTACTATTATTATTATTATTATTATTATTATTATTACTATTATTATTATTATTATTATTATTACTATTATTATTATTATTACTGTTATTATTATTATTATTACTATTATTATTATTATTATTACTGTTATTATTATTATTATTATTATTATTATTATCATTATTATATTTTCGCCCCCCAGCCAATGATGTGGGTCAGTGTCCTCTGCCCGGGTGGACTAATCTCCGTAAAAAAACAATAATAATAATAATAGAAAATTCCACACAGTAAGTACTTCATAAAATTCAAGATGGTAAGCTTATCTTCCGTTCGGCGGGCTCGTTTCTGTCGTATTCTGTTTTCACTTATGCCTGTCGCTCTGCACCTCACTTCTGAAATTCACCGTATACTTCTGTGCACTAAACTGTATTGAAATGAAGCAACATAGTAGTATCTAGTGACGACGGATGTAAACTAGCTGCTGACACAAACACACAAGTTACCAAGAGAACGTCACGTGATCTATGACTTTATTTAACATTATCTTTTAAAAATACAAAATTAAACCTAAATTTAACTATGCCTTTTTTGCCTTTTTGAATGTATCTTTAAATTCTTGGGCGAAAATACACGGTAGAAAATAAATTTGCAGCTTCTCATTTGAATTTCCCCAACCAAATCTGCAACTGTATCAATTTAAACATTAATCGCCTTGATATTTCATATCTTAAAATAATATTATATTATATTTACAATTCCATTTAAAACCATTCATTAAAGGCTGTCCTGTAAAGTATTACATTTGTTAACCTTTAAATATACCTGTAGTTTAAATGTTAATATGTAAACATTAATTAAAGGATCCCACCATTTTTATCACCACCACCTAAATTTCCCTTTTTCCTCATTTTATGTATTTCAACTTGTATTTTAAACATATGTAAACGTCATTTGTGGGGTTTTTCAAATGGAGAAAAGAATCTTGAGAGGTAAGGTGATGTATTGTATGCCAACAAGTTTTTTTTTATATAAAGTACAATTTGTTATAATGTTATTATTACGATTCAACAACGAAGGTATTAAGTGCGTAACAAGGTTAAGTAATATTAGTCCAACAACGTAAAATATTATGAGAGATAGAACAAGTACAAGATATTCTACTGAGTTTATCCTGTTGGCTTACACGATATTTTGTGAACAGTAACTAGGCTGGCTGTACAGGGTCTTAACTTATATATTAAGGTTCATATCGGGTATTAATTGAACTCTCAGGTATTATAGGAAATATTTTGTTCACCTCCAGGTATTAAAGATGATTTCCAATTAGATGTTGGGGGATTTAACTCAGAATAACATATATTTATACATATTACAGGAGTTTATCTTAGTGGGGCTGTTAAACATCAAGTCAATGTGACTCTGCTAAGGCGTGTTACATTTAATTTATCATTTCACCACTTAACTGCTTTGTTGGCGTCCTTCCGCAGCCGTATTGGGTACAACGTTTACATGGGCACTTATCGTTTTCGCTATTAAAATACTCTGGTGTACTGATATACTGCCAGATCTGGGGTCACTAAATCTAAGGGGATAACTTAACTCTAATCTTAATTTCTAAGGGTCGCTGCCACCAGACCCCCTCTGGACAGCATGTAGCTCGTTAGGTAGCGGGCAGAGTGAACTAGGCATTGGGTTAGGTTTTCCATTGATCAGATCGATAAGGGTAAAGAAGGGTGAAACCATAACATGTCTTCATTGATTTATTTCTTATAAAACACACTGGTAACAAAAACATACATGAACTGGCCTTCCTCAGAAGAACAACGGAATTTTGGTTACCCAACTGGGCCCCGGACTCCTACATTACTGGCGGGTCATCCACCCACTTATTGCACAACAATCGGTGAACGCCGTATCTCGGTCGTTCCTTCTTACAATATCCCTTAACACATCAGACTTGTCCACTGGTGTGGCTTGTAGCACCGTCGGTTATCATACATAGTAGCACCATCGCAACACACCTGTTACACTCCATACCCCTACAAGTATGTGACTCCTTGTGACTTTTAGGTCTACACCACGGGCCCCTCGTTCGCACACCGCCCTCGGTGGGTAAGGACGAGGGCTTGACCTAGAGACATACCAGCACTATTTCTACGCCTGGTATTATAGGTCGCTCCAAGTGACGACCGCAGTTTCTCACGGTCTCCTTAGTTGTGACTAATCATGTGGGGTGGTGCGCTGGGAATCCACCGGTTCATAGTGGACTGGTATAGTGGGGAGTAATTCCCCCCCTGGTGTGGCGCTCCAGGAGACAATGGCGGCTGGGCGGCAAGATACCCCAACCACGTGGCACCTGTGTTGACGGCAGAACGGGAAAGACTAAGCAATAATGCCTGACGGGCGGTTATCCCATCCCTTAACACATCCCTATCACACTTATATATCCGGCAAAGCTTTAAACTGTAGTCACTGTTATTTATCAACCTTAATTGTAGGGCGGGATATAGCCCGCTAGGACACTGACCTGTGTTGACGGCAGAACGGGAAAGACTAAGGCCGGCTTCCCGCCGCTTCTCGTCACATAGGCCTACAGTTTCCAATCCTCAATTTACATTTTTGTTTCTTATGGTTCTCCCCTGAACACTTTACGGTATATTGTCCCTCATTTCTTATAAACACATATATTAATCCTAACTTATACACTAAGGTCAGGTCTTGGTTTGCTAGTGCTTGGTTAAATGCCTGGGATTTTAATATCAACGGGCATCTGAGGCGGGTACATGACGCGCCTTGAAACAAAAGCCGAATGATCATGGCGGGGGTGTATCAACTTCACTTAAAAACTGTAATGAGGGGTCCTCCTCTCACGCAGCGCACGATTTGAACACAGACCTCAGATTCTCTGATCACTGTACCTGTCGTGGGTATATGTCACGTGAGGCTACGAGGTGTATTAAATTCATACCGACGCATACACGATATTTCCTTTCCAGTATAGTTTCTAGATCACTGTCAACACCTCACATAGTTCTGATACATTTATCCCTTTTTCCCGATCATTGTTCTCATGTATTTTCATATGATATCTGTTGGAGTTAGGTTCGCTACACGCTCACAGACGTAAATAGTAGGACCTTCAAACCCTGCTCCACACTTAGTCTTACAGTACCCTAGTCCGGCTCAACTGGACTTAACATTCATCTTATGCCTACCCTGAGTGATCCTTAATGCTATGAATACATACACTTGATATGATATATCTATACCTGGGTACAATACCACACATGGTCTAGGAACCTTGAGTAGGTGAGTTGTCCTTTCTCAATGTTTCCCGTTTTCTGGGGTTCTACAAGCGCTGTGCATTTGAATGTTATGTAGCGTAATATGAATTAGATGGGATTTTTAGGGATGACAATGATGTGCGCAGTACACTGACGCTATACACAATAAAGATGTGTAAGATGCTGGACCAACTTCACTCACTGGATGTTATTAAAATGCAGTATACAATAAGAGGGCCGTGACCTGTTTTCACTTGCCTGTCAGATTCTTTCTTTGTTATCATTAAAATATCGCTATTAATCTATTCCCACAAAATATTAGAACGTGGAAGTTACAAGTGTTTAAATTTAATTATACACCATGCATTTTATATTTAGTTAGGTCTTTAATTATGAGTATGTAAGAATTACTGGTGTTTCCCCGAGTGATCACTGTAGGAGTGTAGAAATGATAGAAAATGCAAAAGATGTATGCAAAACTACTTTATTTTGAATGGATTTTTTTATAATGTTTTGTTTTATATTAAAGGTAATACGGAGATAGAATTTAATAAAAAATATGTTTTAATACTTTTAAATTGCCACATTTAATGACTACACACGCTCTGTTTAGGTTTTCAATGTTTCAATGTATCCTCAATTGAGTCAATTAGTATAGGAAGGAATCAGTACTGTTTGAATATGGGGATAAAACTGCAATAACTGATTTAGAACCACTCGGATCTCAGAAAACTATGTAAAATATGATTTATTTTCCCTTCATGACAACTGATGTATAAATAATGGAATAAAATGTTATTATTATATGTTGTTGCCACTAGGATGTCTCATACCACCGTGAAGGTGGTGGCGGGTGTCACGGACCTTCTCGACCCCAAGGCCCAAGTAGCCCAGGCGAAGCACTTTATCCATCACGACTCTTACAACTCTATCACCAACTCTAACGACATCCTTCTCATCAAGGTCAGTTCTGCTTGGCTGAAGATCAATTCTGTTCTGTTTGGTTCACGCTCAGTTCTGTTTGGTACACATTCATTTCTGTGTGGTTTAGCCCGTTGATATTTATGCCACTAATTACGTTATGTTGATTCCACGGAACATTAATTCACATTTACCTCATCACAACAACATAAATCTCTCACCTACGCTGTTGTTGGTCAAGCAAACTCACCTAACAGTTCCACGTTCTAAATTCACTCATTTGGTTTTAGTTGAAAGAGGAACTGCTGCTGGGGACGTTAGTGCAGACGCTGGCGCTGCCTCCTAATGGGGAGGTGGTGGGGGAAGGCGCCATATGTACCGTTATAGGCTGGGGCGCCATCACCAAGAGTGGCGGCGTCTATGAAACCTTGCAGAAGGTGAGTCAGTCAATCATCCTTCTCATTACTCTCTCTTCTTTTCCTACTCTCACACACACACACACACTGTAAGACACACTCGCCATGTAAATGCATCATGGTATTGAGAACTGTTGGGCATTATATCCAGGTAAACTAAAAATTTTGGTGTTATCTAAAGCACGACAACCTTCACGATTGGGTTCATCATATGTCCACGACGCTCTTCTACAGGTGGCGGTGCCGGTTGTATCGAAAGAGTCATGCAGAATGTCGTACGGTGAGGCGGCCGTGGATTACAATATGATCTGTGCTGGGTCGAGTGTCGGTGACGCTTGCAACGGTGACAAGGGCGGACCGCTGCTGTGTAGTGGACACCTGCATGGAGTGGCATCGTGGGGGGAGGGATGTGGAAATGCCTTCTATCCCACTGTGTACATGGAGGTGACTTACTTCCGGGACTGGATCCTGAAATACATCACACACAACTAACACACTACCTCGCCAGCAACAGGTCCAGCTACCTGTGTGATGTTCTGGGCTGCTGATGATGATGATGCTTCTTGCTTAGGATTCACCATGAATACACACCATTGCATTATCCATGAATTCCTTCCAGCCACTTTAATCATTGCTCCAAAAATTAAATGGAATATGATTTTAAGTGAATAGGATTGATAGTTCTAGAGCTTTCCTGGCAGGTGGCGTGGCTGTGTTTACTTCACCCACAATACAGTACAGGACTCGCAGATACTCGCCTGTTATTAGCCTTTTTAAGGATGTTATGTTGACTTTTGTTAAGTTAAATACCCTAATATATATAAACTTTAACCGTCTATTTGCTGTATGTTGTTATTTGTTTTATTTAAGCTTATAAACAAATGTGTATAATTTGACTCTTGCTGTGGGTGGACAGTGACACATTACCCAGAGCAAGTGTTTATAAATCTAGATTGTATATTATATCAGTTTCCGTGAATCAACTGTACGATTTCGTCATTGCATCACAACTTTTAAAATACAGTTTTTACCATAGTATAGATATTTTTTGTTGGTAATAAATATATAGTCATAAAAAATGCTCAGTTTTCCTACAGATGTTTATAAGAATCTGGTTGACTGCTTTATTAGTCCTTAGGGTACCACAGCTTATGACAGTCATGCCTTATGTCGGTTCTATGTTGTGATCTGCCCTCACCACAGCCTCAACACCTCAAGCTGGCAGCTTTTGAGGCCACTTTTAATTGAGGATAAATATTAACACTCCTTATTAGCTTTTCTAAGAGATTAAATTTTAATAATGATAAATAAACAATAGGAATAATACAATAATGAGTATGGTCCTGTAATAGCTGGGTACAGTTTTAGGTAATTTTTATTTTGTGTACTAACAAGTGACAGCGGAAATAAAACAAGGAACTGTGTTATATAATTTTACTAACACTTGTTAATGTAAGAACTAGCACGGTGTGTATGACCAGCGTCAATGGTCGCTAACACAGATAAACGTGGCTTCTATAGTTAAGTACACAGTCTGGGAAGTAGATTAGAATACAGTATACGTGTTTTTATTCTTCACTCTGGTGTCTTTGTGTTAACCTGGCTTCTTTATGCTGCCAGAACCTACATGTTAACTTACCCCAGTTGACAAAAGCAGTCTGTGACACATACACGCTGTGAAGATAAAAAACAAAAAACAAAAGCTCTGAGTTTAAACGTGACTTAGATATTTAACAATCAAGAAGAAATTTAACGATTATCTCTAACAGCTGTTCATTTGATTCATACACCTGGTGGAAGTTCTTCGTCATATTGTGTCGGTAGTCCTCAAGTTAACATATTACAGTTAGGACTCCTTGTTATGTTCTCCCTGTCACACGTTGGTCTCGAGGGTGTCGGCGTCAGATTCAGATATACAGGTGTACTTGTGGGGGAAGTACTCGTTCATCGAGACGCTGTGGTGACGATGGAGGCTGCTGCCCATAGTGGTACTCGACGACCTCTGTAACACTCTGCTACCACCACCTCCTCCCACCTTAAGACTGGTCGCCTGTCTACCTCGACGGAGAGGTTGAGGGCTGTAGGAGTCAAGGTGAGGGAGGAAGGGTGTCATGGCTGGAGGATGAGTGCCTTGCCGGTAGGAGTCTCGGTGTAAGCTCGTGGGGACGGATGAGCCCCGCCATTCACCTTGTTGCTGGTGATCGTTGGTCAGGTACCTCTCGCGGATGATGTTCCAGCCGTGTCGCCGATTGTCTGTGTAAGGATCCACGAGACTTGTGGACGACACGCTGATGCCTCGCTGATCGTTAGGCATATCAGTGTCGCTGTAGCTGGCACAGTCGCTGCCCTCAAAATAATTCTGAAGGTTTTCCATTCGCTTGATATATTCCTGGTTCCGTTTTGATACACTCTGTTGTCTTTTTATAGTCTTGCGGCAGTTAGAGGGCGGACTGTTGCAGTTCGGAAAGCCAGAGTCTGGTGGGGAGTAGTCCTCCTCCACACACTCTTCACACTTTGGCTGTGAACACATCATAGACACTTTCCTACTTGCCTGTGTAGACACTCGTTCGTTCACATCATGCAAACTTGTCAACGAATTTCCGGTTTGTGTCTCAGGTTCTGCGGGAAGACCTACCAAGTTCTCCAGTTCTTTTATTATGTTTTCTTCTCCCACTTGTTCGATAATTTCCAGCAGGGACTCCTCGAGGGCCTGATCGATGACCAGGTCGTCAGGTGGAGGAAGAGGGACATTGTTCTGGTCTATCTTAACTGACTCCTCCACGCTGGTGTTCTCAGCCTCCTCGCTCGTCTCGGAGGGCGTCCTAAGCTTATTGAGAAGTTCTCTCTGTTGAAGAAGAAATATATATTTAACATAAGAATCACGAATCTTGGAAGTTTATAATTCACTGAAGCATTGGAGACCTATTAGGTGTTGTGTTTACGAAATACCCTAAAATATTCTGTACTCATCCTTTTCTCTATAACAAGCCATGCACCTTTCTTGGTACAAGTAACACCATTACCCTTTTTCTGTTGAAGAGGCGTTTCCTGGAGCAGAGGACGAAGAGGCGGTAGAGCTGCAGCGACACTACCAGTGTGTTCTTGCAGGTGAAGAAAATGTTGAGGTAACTCACCACTTTGTAGCCGAAGATGAGCGTCATCCTGTAGGAGTATAAGTTGTGTTACAGCCTCTGTCTGCTCTGAGGAATCTTATCAAAGACTATAGTTTCAAGACACAACAAAGACTACTTTAGTTACGACCATGTTACAGCTCACGACAAAGACTACTTCAGTTACCATCACTCTACACAGACAGACTATCTCTGAAGACCATCCCCCACACACACACACACACTTGCCTCAGAAGGAAGAAGGGGCCATCCTGCATGAACACTGTGGTGAGGATGGCGATGATATCCATATCCAGGTAGAGGTTGATGTTGTAAGCGCAGGTGGCCTGGCTCGCCCTCCTGCCGTCCCTGTCGCAGTAGTTGACGAGGTTGGTGTTCTCCAGGGTGATCTCTTGAGGGGGCGGGTAGTTGATGGAGGGACGCGGCTTAGGAGCATAGGTAGCACTCAGCACCAACGTGAACTGCAACAGCGACCACGACCAGATGCCTGTAGGAGGGAAGCAGAGACACGGTGGTTGAAGGCGATAATTGAAGATAAAATTTAGAATTGGATGACGACGGTGGAGGTGGAAGATAGTAACCATATACAAGAAAGGAAAATAGGTAATTTGTACGTATAAAATGTCACATTACTGGGAATTATAACAGTTCAGATAAATAAAACTAGAAAGGTTAGGTTAGGTTAGGTTTAGCTCGTCCGTTTTCCCAGTTTTGAAAAATGTACACAACACCGCCATCAGTTAAGGAAGCTATTGTACTCTCCCTCACCCCGACTGTATCAATTACCAGAAAAAAGAACAATTATCGCTGGGATGTATAAGACTAAGAAGCTCACCCAGTGTGGCGTAGATGAGCTCCACGTTGCGAGTGACAGCGTCCTCCTTGAAGCACTCAAACAGCTCAATGATGTCGGCGGCCATGGCCATGTAGGCGAGCAACAACTGTGACAGCTGCTCCCGGGTCAGCTTGCCTGCCTCAACATGGTCACTTGGTTAGGTGATAATAACAGCAACATCAATTACAATAACAACTACAGCAGCAACAAAATAATCCCATGACTCACCCTTGTACTGTACAGTGTGACTCACCCTTGTACTGTACAGTGTGACTCACCCTTGTACTGTGCAGAACTGTGACTCACCCTTGTACTGTACAGAAGTGTGACTCACCCTTGTACTGTACAGTGTGACTCACCCTTGTACTGTACAGTGTGACTCACCCTTGTACTGTACAGAAGTGTGACTCACCCTTGTACTGTACAGAAGTGTGACTCACCCTTGTACTGTACAGTGTGACTCACCCTTGTACTGTACAGTGTGACTCACCCTTGTACTGTACAGAAGTGTGACTCACCCTTGTACTGTACAGTGTGACTCACCCTTGTACTGTACAGTGTGACTCACCCTTGTACTGTACAGAAGTGTGACTCACCCTTGTACTGTACAGTGTGATTCACCCTTGTAACTGTACAGTGTGACTCACCCTTGTACTGTACAGTGTGACTCACCCTTGTACTGTACAGAAGTGTGACTCACCCTTGGGCAGTAGCCAGCGACCTACGAGCAGCATTACCAACAACACCTGCTCCAAGACACGCACCCACTGTTCGATTGGCAACGCTAAGTCCAGTTTCTGCAAGAAACAGTAAACATATATATTAAGACCCCATACACCCACGTTACACTCAGACCACACACTCATGTTATAAGTAGACCACGCTCTCAAGTTATACTCAAATAAAGCACTCAGCTCACACTCAGATCACGTAGTTGAAAGTAATAGAGTGAACAAAAAAGTAGAGTAAATAATTTCACACTTATAAAAGTATCGCATGACAACACCCAGAAATATTAATTTTATGCAAGTGTACAATTTCCACTTACAAGAGTTCAGTTAAAAAGTGCACAGTTACACACCAGTATGGCATTTGATGTTGAATAACTTTACATTTATAAGAGTTTAGCTAAAAAGCACATAATCATACTATGTCACTTTTCAGTACAGAATTTCACACTTACAAGTCCTCCAATTTCCGAGAATTTATTGTCAGTTGTTTTAATCTCTTGAGTAGAATTGAATCGTAGGTCGTTGAGTCCCAGTTCCATGAGCCATATTGGCGGCACTACGGACACCAAGTACAGGAACACGGACGGACAGAACCTGGGGGAGAGGAAGGGGTTCTGGTCACCTTAGCCACGAACGGGCGCTAAGTACAGAAACTCGAACATGTGAAGCTTGCTGAGTAAAATGTATACTTAGAGAGAACGATAAACTATGGAGTGAGAATGACCACAGATCAAAAGAACATTCAGACCAGGCATTTTCCTCAAATAAGTGCACATAGTTTTCACCCCCTAAATGAAGACAAATGAACGCACATTAGAGGCCTTGAGTTAGACCTCACTCTTGAAGTAATTTTTGTGCCATAGCTCAAGTGAATGCATAAGAAGCCTTCTCCTAATCTCCAGTTAAGGAATAATGTCCCTTGGAGGAAACTCTGAGACCCTGACCCCAGGCCCAGGAACCTCCTCCTCTGTTAAGGTACTGACCACTTCATCTCCTCGCCGTTCCTGGCACAAACGGAAACGATGCCCTCGAAGCCCTGCAGCATGAGGGGCGCCACCATATACCAGTAGGCCACCTGCCCGCCCTTAAGGTCCACCAGCTTCCAGACGGCGATGAAGGCGTGTGTGGCGAAAAGCGCGCGGGTGATGATGGCCTTGACGATGGTCACGAAGGTCCTCATTCTACACTGAATGGATGTACAGCACAGACGACTGGAGGCGGCGGGTGAAGGATGGAATAACAAAGGAGCAATGAAAGGTTCCTTTTGATGTAACGATATCAGAAATGGTAGCAGGAGAGTGAAACACTAAGCCATTAAAACTTTGATAATCTATGGTGATGTTGGCGAGGGTGTAGGAGTTAGGAAAGATATTACTATGGTGTCGTCCTTCGCGTTCGGGACGGGATGATAATGAATTAAAGTCGTCTAGGATTGCTGCGAGACGGAAGGAGACGCCTAAGACGTTAAAGGTTTCTCAGGGAAAATAAAAATCCTTATAAAGGATTCTAGGGGTGGGAGGAGATTTAGGATATGTTATGCAGGGATAAAATGGATGGATGGAGATAGGAACTCGACGTATAAGACCCCAATAGGTAAATAATGATTCCAGGGTTCTTGTGTAGATGGACAAGCACGTCCATCAGTTTCTCACTTCACTTCATTACAGCACAAGAGAGTAGTTTCATAATAGACCTGTATGTAAGTAAAAAAATATAATGAAAAATATTAATACTTTACGTCAGAAAAATAGGTTAATTACCATATTTCAAACGTAAATATAATGAAATAAACATATATATCCGTTCATAAGAGACTTTTCACGTCACAATTTCATTCGTCTCATCAATATCTAGACACTTTGATGAGTAATTTCTAATTCTATCAGCATTATAGCAAATAAATTAGGAAGTTGTTAAATATATCCAGGTTTATATTACAAAGTCAAACACAGATGACTTGAACACGTCTATCTAACCATTAGAAATACATGATGTCACTTTTTCAGGAGGGTATTCAACATCCAGGTCACGGCTCCACTGTTTACACTTCGCTTGACACATGGAAACAAATGAACGTGTTGTTGTATCTGAACTTAGACTTGTACTGTTACTATTCTCTTTTCCACGGTACTGACGTTCCTGGGGGTATTTAACAAGTAAGGATTATTTACTCAGCATAACAAGACAGTGTGAAGAGACAGTCAGACGAGGCGATGCGACACAACCCGAGAAACGAGCCAATACGACGACACAACGCGAGGTGATACCGGGAGGAAAGGTGTGCGACTGGCAGAAAGGTGGGCGGGCAGGTATAGGAGGGCGGGCACCAACAGTGGCACTCCACACACAAACACGCGGCCATCTGCTCTCCTTTACACACTCCTGCCTCTGTTTCCCCCTACTCCAATTTCTTTTGTTTCACTCTTGTTTGTCTGCCGTGGCTTAATCTACTGACTCTACTATCACACTCATAACTACTGTAGTTTTTATTTATAAGGTAACAGTAGACGGGACGTATTACAGAGGAAAGACCAAATATAGAATAGATTAACTTAACAGTGATGTGTGTAGGTGTGTTATGGGGAGGTGTGGAGGTGTGCTATGGGGAGGTGTGGAGGTGTGTTATGGGGAGGTGTGGAGGTGTGTTATGGGGAGGTGTGGAGGTGTGTGGGGAGGTGTGTAGGTGTGTTAGTGGAGGTGTGTAGGAGGTGTGGAGGTGTGTTATGGGGGTGTGGAGGTGTGCTATGGAGGTGTGGGTGTGTGTGGGAGGTGTGGGGAGGTGTGGAGGTGTTGGGAGGTGTTATGGGGAGGTGTGTGGGGAGGTGTGGAGGTGTGTTATGGGGAGGGAGGTGGAGGTGTGTTATGGTGTGGGGGGAGGTGTGGGAGGTGTGTGGGGAGTGTGGAGGTGTGTTGGGGAGGTGTGAGGTGTGTTGTGGGAGTGTGGAGGTGTATGGGAGGTGTGGAGGTGTGTTATGGGGAGGTGTGGGGTGTGTTGTGGGGAGGTGTGGAGGGGTGTGTGTGGGGAGGGTGTGGAGGTGTGTTATGGGGAGGTGTGGAGGTGTGTGTGGGAGGTGTGGAGGTGTGTTATGGGAGAGTGTGGAGGTTTGTTTTAGGGAGGTGTGGGTGTGTTATAGGGAGGTGTGGAGGTGTGTTATGGGAGGTGTGTGTGGAGGTGGAGGTGTGTTATGGAGGTGTGTTATAGGGAGGTGTGGAGGTGTGTTATGGGGAGGTGTGGAGGTGTGTTATGGGGAGGTGTGGAGGTGTGTTATGGGGAGGTGTGGAGGTGTGTTGATGACTTTATAAATGATGAATATTCAATTATCGAAAAATATATTAATGATCTGTATAATAAAGTCATACGATGAAATGTTGAAAGCGAACGTTTGTCTAAGGAAAGTAATGAGGAAATGTGTTAGTAATGAGGAAATCTGTAAAGTTTCTCTTGAACTACTGGAGGTGTGGAGATATTTTTTGTGAGAAAAGGAATCTATCTCACCTTGCTAACTGACGTGTTTTATGGTCACTGAGTTGTTTCAGTTTAGGCTTAATTTCAATATCATACTACCCACTTACTTTACTTATGTTCTTCGTCTTATGATGTAAATGTAATGATAGTAGTAAAATTGTGTTTATTTACTACTGTAGAACTGATTTTTTAATATTTATCTACTCAATTCAGCTTACTGTTCTATATATATTGTCTATAAAATTTGTGAGTGAAGTTGCGCCAGTAACTACATCTTTGTCATTTTACCAGAAATAATTAATCTTTAAGGAAAAAAAATCCCACCGGAATTCAGATCCAAATTATATATATTTGTGATCCTTTACATGACATTTGTGTACGTGGGTGACGAAAGTGGGACGTCCAGTCAGTAAAACTCTAGAATGTTAACCCTTATAACACAACGTCTCTGATCGCTTGTTTATAAACATTGCCACACCTGCCCACCACCACAGGTAGGAGACCCAGATTCTCAAAGATTCGTACGTTAAAATATTTTTCCCTTTAACTAATAAAGCAAGTTAGCATCTAGCTATGGTGTTATTTATATGCAGAGGAAACTTTTTAGCTGTTCTGTGTCATGGCTTAAGTGAGAATTTGACATACGATTGCGCAAAAAAATCAGGTGAAAACATGAAAGGAGTTTACGATCATTTACGAATTAGGGTTGGCTGGATACCGGAAGGAATGCGAGGGGAATGCAGGTATACACAGTGTGGGAGTTGGGGAGAGAGAGGAGAGCAGCTTGTGGTCCGATATTGTTGAGAGAGAGAGGGAGAGAGAATAGTGAATGTAACTTAGAGAGTGTGCTAACAAACATTTACAACAATTGGACGACTTAGCTGGGTCCACCCCCACCCCCCTCCCCCTTCCCCACCTCCAGAAACATACAAATCATGCAATTAATAATCGGTGGATAGCCAAAGTGTAAAGTAAACGCTTACCCCAGAACACGTCAGCTTGGATAAATAAATATATAAAAAATATTTTACTTCTGTTTCTAAGACTCATCCATGCTTCGTTTCGTGGTTTCGGATTCATGAGAATGCCAACAGAGGCCTGGAACAAGACTCGACCTAGCAGTGCTGTCTGTGCTTTGTTCCGGTAAGGACGCACACGGAGGCTTTTAGATAAGCAAATAGCCGGTGAAGAGACTGAAATTAACGAGGTCTGCAAAGTATCGTAAAGTGTTCGTCAGTGTAGTAAAGTGTTTGTAAGTGTCATGGAGTGTTTACAAGTGTTACAAGGTGTTTAAAAGTGTCGTAAAGTAGTTATAAGTGTCTTAAAGTGTTTGTGTTATGAAGTTTTATAAGTAATATGACGTGTTTGTGTCATGAAGACTTATAAGTGTCACAAAGTAATTGTGGGCGCCAAGAATACCCGTACGTTCATAAAAATAGTATGAAGTGTCGTAAAGCGACAAAGTTTTAGAGTGCCATAAAGTGATACGTTATGTCACAATAATTCATGTAATATCCGAAAGTCTTATAAAGTGCTTTTAAGTTCCAATAGGTCTGATAAAGTACCATTAAGCCTAATAAGTGTCATATAATGTCATAAGATGTTGTGCACAGTGAAAAAGTGCTATGAAGTGTCAGAGGTGTCATGAAGTGTCCTAAAGTGTCATGAAGTCTCTTTAAGTGTCGACGGTGTCCTAAAATGTCAGTGACCTTAAGTGTTCTAAAGTGCCGTAAAAAGCCATATAGTTTCAAAGTATCATAAAGTGGCATAATGTGTCAATAAGTCTCTAATAGTTATAAAGTGTACAAGCAACATGCGATAGTGTCATGCGGTGTCGAAAAGTGTCACAAGGTACTGTGGAGTCTCTCAAAGTGTCGCAAAGTGCTATTAATGTCGTAAAGTGTCAATACAGTGCCATTAATGTTTTAAAGTTTCGCAGTGTCATTAATGTTGAAAAGTGTTGCAAAGTATCTTGAACAATCACAAGGTATAAAGTGTGTCACGAAGTGCAGCAAGGTGTCATTAAGTGCTGTGAGGTGTCATAAAAGTGTCAACACGGTGCCAGCAGGTGACCCTGGCCAGGGCTTCTGCGACCACCAGCACAAGGTAACTACTACTGTTGTGTTCTTGATATATTGAACAAGTTCTCTTAGTCATCCATTTGGTATAAACTAATGCTTAAGATCATTGGTTCTGCCTTAATTGTCCTGTAAGTTAGGTGTGATTAATCATATACCTGTAGATGTTTGTGTGTGATAAACGGCAGGTAATCTAATCTGATTTTTTTCTTGTCCTTTTCCAGGTAAGTGTGAGTTAAAGCAGCTCTTCGAGGGATATTAACACACTATGTCTCAGATACGTCCACGTTATCATATTCATTGATCATCGTTTTATCCATCAGCTAAGTATGGAGTCCTTCGGATCCCACAGCAGTTTTAAAGGAACGTTACGCTTTTCCCCTCCATCTTTGAGGACGTCGGTGTCCCTCCCTTATCAAAGAGTTAACTCTGAAGCAAAATTACTTCTCACGTCGTGTTGGGAACAGGCGAAACAACTCACCAGAGCAGGTGGTCAGGTGTTCAAATGTTAACCTTTAGGAGGTGCGGGACAAAAGCGTTGGGCAGAGCAAAATATCACGTATGCTCCACTGAACGCTATAGCCACTAGCCCGCCTGCTGTGATGCGCTGATACATACTATGGAAATTCATATATACAAGGATTAAGCCTTTGTGTAGGACACATGTACAACATGTGTTTGAAAAATGGACTCTGTAGACAACTACAGTATGTAGTAGCCATTCAACTCCCTCTGAGGACAGGTCGTGATGAATAGTTGTATTATATGTGAATTTTTGTTCCATCAGCATTCATGTACCGTACAGTATTGCAAAACTAGAGTAACTTCCATTGAGTGCAAATTTTTCTACAACGAGGGGCAACGTAAGGTATAACATAAATGAGTAACAAGGATCAATATATGAGCCTTCACTAACGAGCATGCTCTGTGTGCTGCTTCAACTGTATTCATTAAACTGTACATTGATAATTTCAAACCAGCTTTAACCCTCCAGGTCCCCAATTCTTAAACTGTCATACATGCTTATATTACACCCTCAGTCAACCAGTTAGCTGTTATTATGTTCCTAGTTACAGAAAAAAAAGTAATGTAAGAAGAATCTTTGAAAATCCGGACCCCATCACGGCAGTTGATGTACTGTTAATTAAAAATAAACTGAAATATAATTCAAAAACTCTATATAACGGATAATAACGTTTTCGTCGTTCCGATTGCTGATAACACAAAGTTGAAAAACAATGACAACAGTGTGATGCAGAAGGAAAATGATACACTTCAAGTTATGGAGATTGGAGACATGAGTGCCACCTGGCTCACACAACTATTAATAGTGCCATCTATGTTTCATCATGGTAACCTAGACCATTCAACAGGATATTCTTCTCTACACGCTTGAGGCAGTAAATGAAGCTTATTACAGTCAACCAATCCACAAATATCTTCCAAATAATTCAATATTTAGCATAATTTTTATTGAGAATATTATTTGAATAAAATAACCATGGGCATCTTAGTGAGGAGTGAGGCGTCTTGATGGTGCCCCAGCCTCTCTGTTTTGTTTACATGTCGAGAGTGAGAGGTGATCTGAAAGTGAAATAATACAGACTTTTTCATATTGTCGTCATTACAGAGGTTTGTTTATCGTATTTACTTGGAGCATAATTGTCAGCTAGGAAATCGGTTAATGTATTTTAGAATTTCAGGCTTAAATGAGCTTGACAAGACCAGTATGATTGGTGAATTCTCTGATTAACTGAGGTGATGCTCAAGAACCTGCTGCCTCAAGGACTTGGTTTATACGACATTATGAGGTCAAAAACATATTTACCGAGTGTCATTATTTTGTTCACACATTATGACTAAAGGTCCCCTGGAACTGTGCTGTGAAAAGGGATAGACTTAAGTAATGGCTGTTGAAACGAACCTGTATGCCAATGACAGTAGATTATTCAGGCGATACTGTTTACTCCTGACATATTATAACCATAATTACTCTAATACTGTAATCTTATCTTACCGAATCTGTGTTAACCTCTCTTTGTTATCATTCATGAAATCTCATGAAAATGTAAGTGTGGTTCCCAGCCTTGAATCATTAGTGTTTATGATCAGGCTAACTGAATCCCTATCACATCCATGTGTGTCAGTTGATCATTTGGGTAAATTTTTACTTTAGGACATGAGTCCCGTGGGGTTGACCAAAATGTTTTTCCAGTGTATTTTGGTGTTTTAAACGAATCTGACCTTCATTTTTTGGCGGAAATGGGGGAGAGCCTGGGAAATCAAAGTTTTTGGGTGGGGGAGAAAACGAAAACGAGTCCTCTATCCTAACCTAACCCGTAGCTGGGGGCTCTGCCCCCGGACCCCCGCTAGGCATATCTTAAACTAACCTTAATATTTCAGTAGTTTAGGGGCGCGCCATGTCAAAAGTATAATATCTTGGTTAGAAGTGGAAGGACCAGTGATACGTAAGAATTGGGTAGAATGATCGTCTTTTTCGTAAAACTCGGCAATAACTTTAAGATAATCGTAGGAGCACAAATGACAACCAACCTTCACCACGGCCATTGTGAGACTGGTCAATGAAATTAAAATCATGCCCAGGCTGCGTCCTTTGAAAATAATCAAATGTGATTGGTCGAAAAAAATTTGCGTGATGATATCGATACATCATTGGTCACGACTGGATGACGTCAGTCAATATTGCGCATGCGTGATGCTCTGATAACATCTCATCACAGATGAAGACTGAAAACTATTTAAAGTCAATTCAATTCAATTGTGTTGCTATTATCCATTTCCGCCTGGTATATACCCTGTACAGTATATATGGGGTTCAAAATGCTCAGAATAGGGAGATCTAAATGTTTATAACTTTTGGGTGTGCTATGTCTTAAAGTCAAATAATGCCCTCATTTGGTACAATTATACTGGGTACCGTAGTAATTCGGTTTAGTACATGGCCTGGACTTCAGGATGAAAATAGGTACTTATATAAAATTTATATCTGAATCAATTTTCTTTTATGGTACTTCTTGTGCAAATGAGCGGTTATGGGGATATACCCCTCCTCCGTCTAACAACTTTGAAGTTCACAAAAGTGTCTTTGAATTAGTGGGATATTGTGGGGTAAAAGAGGGCATGTGGGGTACTACTGCACCATAAAAACCTAATCTAATATAACACCATGTTCCTATCCAGGGGGCTTCTTCCCACATACAAGTGCATCACAAGTTAAAATAAAACATATAAGAGATTTTGTATTACATCTGCTGGATCATCTACCTGCTTCATAAGTCACCCAAGAAACACAGATGATTTTGCAGCCCATTCTTCATTACAGGACATTTTACTTCTTTTTATATTAAATTTACTTCAAGCACAGAGAGTTCTGTCTCTAAAATTTTTTAATTGTTATTGGACTAGTGTATTACTAACCTTGTTACGCATTTAAAGACCTCCTATGTTAAAGCACAGTAATAACAACAGCAGCATGGTATGGTAGTTAACCCTCTCGTGGTCTTTAGAGCAAATTTCGGTGCTAAAGGTGGCGTCACACTGGCATTCTTTCGTAAATTTTTTTGTCAACTTTCAGAAAATCATTAATTTTTTTGTTGTGCACCATCACACATGCATTTAGAACCAACTTACCAGTTTCCCTCATTCGACAACTGTCAACAAATAAGATGGATCCAACTGACGAAGAATGCACAACAATTCTATACTTTGTCATGGCTGTTTTCCAACATTTACAAGCTAAAAAGTGTAAAAGGTGTGCTTGTCCATACTTGGGAAATTATTTTATTTGTTGGCTCCATCATGCTGTTGTTATTCCCGCGTGGTCAAAATGTAAACAACAAATGACATTTTTTTACCTTCTTAAAATCACAAAATTAAACATAATAATGAGTAATGTTGGGAAGAAGAGTAATAATTACAGCTCTTCCCCGACTTACGACCTACTCGACTTACGACCTGCCTCGATCGTACCAAAATTTTGTCAAATTACGTATTTTTGAGTTCCAACGTCAGTACACAGACAAAATTTTCGTTTGTAATTCACTTTAAATTGGCTGGCAAGCTTAAAAGTGAGAGTTTTGTGGTGCTGAGAAGAAAAAGAGACACCCTTTTTAGATTTTCTATGTATTATTTAAGCATTTTCGACTTACGACCATTTCGACTTACAACCTGGATTTGGGTCCCTAACCCCTTCGTAAGTCGGGGAGGAGCTGTACTTCAAAATAATTTCAGCTTTATATTTTAAGTCAAAAGTACAGTAGTTTATTTTTTATAACTCTGTAGTATCAATTATAGATCTTGAATTGAGTCCGGTAAGTTGTCATTTGAGCCGTCAGTGCAAATGGTCTGCTCCGTTTGACAAAAAGTCAATGACAACGTCGATGATTTGTGAAAAAATCGACGATTAATGGAAAAGTTGACAAAAGAAATCTACTGTGACACCATCTTAAGCGCTCCCGTGCTGGTTGTGACTCCACCCACTCAGCCATATCTCACACTGAGAGCACTCCTCCCGCAAGCAGAAATGCAGGAACAGTGGACCGGCACTATGAACCACCTAAGTTCCTGGGTTGGCAGAATTGTCTATTAAGGGTGCAATTTGGGTCTGATTCGCTCTACCCAGTTTTTATAAAAATGGAAAAACTTGGGTCGAAAGACTGCGAGGGGGTGAGATTTTTAACCATCACCAGAAGTACCAGAGGGTTAATGAGCTTGTTTGGGTTAACTGACAATTTTCACCAAAAATGGAGTCAAGAAAGTAACCAATTTAGGCTATTGTGTGATAGAAGTTGGTCAATAGACTCACGTATATTCTGTAATTTTTAGGTAGATGATGCCATCTATTGGGTGTATATTATTAATTCTGTTAAAGATTAGCTACCCAGCTTTTTTTTATACGGTATCCTGCAGTTCTTATTTGTTATTTCATAATATGTAGCTACGCAACTTAGTGTTGGAACACAAAAATTTGCTAAACTGTACAGAAAAACCTCATTAAGGCAGGCCTCGCTAAGGCGGATATTGCTTAAGCCGGACAAAATTATTTGCCCAAAATAATTAAAAAATTTAAATAATTCAAAAATAAAAAAAAGGTAGGATAAAATTTGTCCTCAGATGACATGTCCGCCTTGAATCAACAGGTCCCTGAGAGTTATCATTTGTTGTTTGTGGGAATATTATTTCATTCACTCTAGTAATGATACAATGTTTCTTATTATGTTATCATAGGTAAATGCTTGGTTTATATAATTTGTTTATCACTGTGCCCATCACCGTTTTCAAATTAGACTACAAGATACTGTATGTATTTATCCCATACGTATTTTGATCGTACGCCTGGCAATGGGAGCCTGGGAGCGAATGAGTGACCGCTAGTTAGAGCGCCGTGTCCAGTTGTAACTCTCGTCCCTCCCTGCCATATTTCACTGGATTTAATGTTGTTATTAGTGTTTACTGATATAATAACACTTAATAATGACATACGTAAAGGGAATAGACATTTCTTTGCACACGAGTTAGCTGGCTCAGTGAAGGATGGGAAGACGGTCGCAAAGTGTAGTGGGGGGGGCGTTGCTAGAGAATCGGTGTCCCAACTAATCATTATTTAGCGTTTTTATACATTTAGTACATTCACCGTAGGCTGAAGTAGCATTCATATTTTTTTGCATTATTATTGAAAATTAACCAATAACAATGACCGTTAAGAAAGTGTTTGGTAAGAGTAAGTGCACAGTAATATGTGCACTGTACATTACGTTTTTAATTAATTTTTATTAAAAAACATGTATTTCTTAAATAAAAATTGGATACATTGGTGTTATACTCGTTTTTTTTTTTTAATGGTGATCTTTTCAGAAAAATTAACTCAGGTGGACAAACTTTTATCCCAGAAACCCCTTCCCGCTAATTAGTTTGGCTTAGCAAGGTTTTGCTGTACTTTTGTATTTTGTTAAATTTGGTAATATTGACCTGTTTTTGCCTTATCTTCTTTATGGGTTTTTCAACAAAACTTCAGGGGAAAAATTACAGTGATGACTGTCTAGAGAGTTGTCAAAATCCTTCATGAAAGTTTAGCACAGTACTGTACTGTATTTTAATTTCTTTTAGATACTGGTGATCTCTCAGTTATAAAGTTGGGTCACATGTTTTTTCTTAATATGATTAAGACATCGTAACCTAAAGCTAAGCTTAAAGCTGAGGGGCTCCACTTCCAATTCTTAAAAGATTCAAATTTTTAATTTCTGGAATAATTTACTGTAGCTGAAATTTGATAATCCCAAAATATATAATTTTAAGTACTGTACATTGCAGTGTAGTACTGTATGTTGGTTTTAGTTTAATTTTGTCTTATAAGTTGGCCAGGTCCAGTGCGGGAAGTCCTGAGATGCTTATGTCAATCCCTCAACATTTTCCGAAGCTGTGAAAAAATATGGAAAAAGCAAAAGTTTTTTGTAACCAAATTTTTTTACAAAAAATCAGAACCTGGAACAATGTTTTATTTTTCAATAACTCGATCTTTGTAAATTTGAGAGTGCCTGTACTATGTAATTAATGAGGAATATATACCCATCTTTTATTCATGTACAGATTACCATTTATTGTACACTTTGCAGGAGAGTTGATGTAACCCACCACATCTAGTACTGTACAAGTGATTTGGTTAGACACAAAAGGCACTTCCTTTTAATTGATGTCCCACAACTTCTTTGTATGTGGATATCTTGTTCAGATAAGGCCAATGGGAATTGTTTTGGGCCATGCTGCTGACGATACAGATGACAAAATGAATACTGTACAGCTATCTCTTCACACTGGCTGGTAACACAGTGCACACTCACCGAGTTCTGCTTGCCTGGGAACACATCACATTCATTACTGATACACCCAGTAGGCTATAAAGTAACAAGGTACAGTACAGTAATGAGAGGCAAAATAAGAAGTATGGAAATAAAGTAAAGAGTACCCGTAATTATCTGAATTGTTACTCAAGTAAGAGTACCGCAAAGAAAAGTTACTTTAAGTCCAGTATACAGTATTTAAAAAAGGTCATTTGTGCTCATTAATTAAATAAATTTACTGTACTTTGTTAATGTTCACCTCATGTCCACCTCTGATAATCGTGGACTGTTCATTACTCCAATCAGCAAGCTGCTGGTTAAGTCATAAAAAGAGATTATAGCTATGTGTTATGTCACACAACTATCATAAGATTTTTATTTTTATTTTTATTTTTTTTACGGGGAATATCTCACCCGGGCACAGGTCATCGACCCGCATAGGGGCCTAGGGGGCGAAAAAATAAGACTAAAAAAAAAGAAAAATAGAAAATGAAAAGGTTGTAATGTATTAATATACACCGCGAAGATGCCGGAAAACCAGGTTTTTAAAGTGAGACATTGTATGAGTGTGGAAACACAGAAGAAGGCAGAGCATTCCACAGTTTGGCTGTGTGAGGAAAGAAGGATGTACTATAATGGGTTATTCTAGTGTGACCGACATCCACAGAGAAATGGTGGGCACCTCTGGCAAGATGTGTGTTACTAGCCCACGGCCTTGCCGGCAGTACGCAGGATGCCAAATCCACCAAACATGGGGCATACTGTACATTGTACAAGTTCAATAATCCAGCACACCGGGGTAAAGGGGGGTGCCGAACCATCAGATATGCCTGATTATTGGATGTTACTTCTAGTCACAACCTCAGGATACTTTATTTTCACTTTTTTTATGTGACATACTGCAGTACTGTACAGTACAGTATAGTTTTGTACATACAGTATTGTAAAGACAAATAAATGATACAGTAAGCAAAGGTAAAGAATATAATAAAATATAATACTGTAATTATGTAATTTATTGTTCAGTAAAAGTCAACAATCTTATAATGATGATTTCTTAGGGTACTGTTACTACTGTACAGTAAAATTGTATCACAGCTTTTTCGTGCTGGACAATCAGGCTAATGGACTATAGAGTTTGGAATTTCTGTTCAGTTCGCAATTTCTTTCAGTAAGGAGCACTATGGAAGACGATGATGATATAAGACTACTTCTAGAGTGGACAGACCACACACAAGTTCTTAGAAGGGTCATGTCAACTTTGCGTCATAAGGTGCAGTATTATTTTTATCTCTCTTTTTTGTAGTGAGCTTTTATGATTTGCTATACAGTATACTGTAAACTGTATACAGTACAGGTATACAGTATATATACTGTATATTTTTTTAATTATATAAATATGCATATAAGAATACTGTATTACTGCATGATACCCCGAGGCAAGACCACTTTTGGGGAAATTTTCTTCCCCAGATTGATTTATTTGTTCATATTTTAGTGATTTTTCTTCCAAATTGCTCCCTTTAAAGTAAAATTGATGCACTTGCCATTGTCACACAGTGCATCTTAAATCATTATCATCATAATCAAAGTTAACCAAAATATTACATTATTTTCTATAGATTATTTTTTTGCAGTGTTTATTGTAATACAGCAATTTCTCCACTTATGTGTAGTCATGCAGTCATACCAGGAACTTATCCCCCTTTTCCCATTGAACCAGAGTTTCTACATTTACAGTTTCTTCATTTGTGGGGGTTTTCAAGAATCTAACCCCTGGAAATATTGATGATCTACTGCACAGTATATATTGCACTCAAAGTTATACAACAGCTGTACTGTATTTGATTTAGATTTATTAATGTATATACCATATATTGTATATTTTAATTTTATATCTAAAAAACCCTTACATGACCACAATTTAATTGCAGGAACTGTTTGCTGATGTTACATTGATTTGTGGTGAGAAACGTTATGCTGTTCACAAGTTTGTCCTATGCACTAGTAGTCCATACTTTGAAAAGCTGCTTGAGTGCACACCATGTGACAATCCAGTGTTGGTCCTCACAGAGACCCCACCTGAGACGGTAGAGGTGTTACTTGACTTTATGTACCTTGGCCAGGCAGATCTAAGTTCTGATAATCTGGATCGACTTCTTGATCTTGCCCATGAGTTCAAAATTAGAGGACTGATAAACCCAAAGGATGATCTAGAAAGACAAGTATGTAGTTTAATGATTTTTTATTTAAATATTTATAGTTTATTATATCCTTAATAGTTTTAACTACAGTATATGAATTTTTCATATTTTGTAATAAAATCAAGTTAAAAACTGGCTGTTTCTAAACTGTAGCACAAGTGTCTTTAGTAATGTACAGTATGTGTTGTGATATAATGCTCTTGACTCCTAAACTAAGAGATGCAGTTATGCAGTATTACTGTAGCCAGGCTTGGTTGGTATGGTGGGTTCACTATTGTGTTAAGCCTTGGATTCAGTTATGGGTGTGGCTTCCCACTTTATGAATTTTGTGCAAATTCATAATATCTTTATACAGGTTGTACCTCTCTAGTCCGGCATTCTGTGGTCCGGAAACTCCCGTGGTCCGGAACGATTTTAGTTTGTCCAATAGGTAGATAGGCAGCTCTTTTTTTTTTTTTTTTTTATCTGAATTATTATTATTATTATTATTATTACAGGAGTATTAAATTTTTGCCCCTCAGGCCCCAATGTGGGTCAGTGACCTAAGCCCGGGTGGGCTAATCCCCGTAAAAAAAAACAACAAAAAGCCGCGGGAAATTAAGGTTTGTTTACATCCGGCAGTTCGGCTGCTCTCTCTCTCTCTCTGCTTGTCTATACAGAGTACAACATTTAACCCTTCAATATATATGAGCAGTAAATAAGTGTTGCTTTCATATTCTTATGTAGAGTAATGACGATATATTTTCACATGTGCGCACTTACATACGAGCAGTCTCACTTTTTTTTTTACCATTAATGGTTAGCTACTTATATTGTTCCATTTATTAACATTAAATAACATTACAGGTACTTCAAGCAACCATATTCATTTTTTACATTAATTTTACTACAGCTAAACTCAGGGTCTTATTTTCTTCAGTTTTATATGTAGAACCAATCAGTCACTGGTTTCGTAAGCTTTAACATAAACAATGCCGGCAGCCGTCTCGTCTCCTCTAATATTCCACGTATTATTAATAAATTGTATTGTTAATTTTGCACACACGTACATTAATTCAATAAAAACAAATTCAGAAACATTAATTAAAATATATATGAACAGTAAATAAGTGTTGCTTTCATATTCTTATGTAAAGTAATGACGATATGTTTTCACGTGTGCGCATGCGCACTTACATATGCGATCTCTCTTTTTCTTTACCATTATCGTTAGCTACTTCTATTGTTCCATTTATTAACATTAAATAACATTACTTAAAACAACCATATTAATTTTACTACAGCTACAACCAAGGTCTTATTTTCTTCAGTATTATATGTAGAACCAGTCAGTCACTGGTTTTGTAATCAACGAAAACAATGCTGTCTCATTTCCTCATGTGTTTTAATTTTCTACGTATTATTAATGAATTGTATTGCTCATTTTGCACGCATAAACATTAATTCAATAAAAAAGACATTCAGTAATAAACAATAATGAATCTTTTGTACATAAGAGAAATGACGCTGTTTACAAGATTATGCACGTCGTCTGCACGTTGGCGGGCCGTTCAAACCCGTCGAAATTCAAGTTTCCGCCGTCAAAATTTTTATTTATTTATTTTTTTGTGTGTTCCAATAAAATACGTTAAGAATTAAAAACTCGCGAAATTTGAGAAGCTACTATACGACATTTAACCCTTCAATATGTCTTCAAAGAGACCATGACGCAGAGAAAGTGGTGCTAGTGCTTCCAAGCATAAGCACAAGTCACTATCTATCCAGGAAAAGGGTGAATTTCCATGGTCCGGCACCGGTCAGGTCCCGAGGTTGCCGGACTAGAGAGGTACAACCTGTACTATATATTATAAAATTTATATACTGTACAGGTAGTTGGCTCCAGTAATGATTTTAATATACTGTACAGTATTCTCTTTGTAATGAAGATGGTGACGATTCATACTGAATTTAGAGAACAGCCTTATCTATGTGCATCAGTTGTGGGAGTTTCCATTTCCTACACTCACCTCTCTGCACTCTCATTTCACATCTTGTTTTATTCATAAAATTAGACAGTAACTGTGTTGAAATGAATTCCCTAATACACATGCACTGGACCTTTTTCTTGTATGTATGAAGTGTCAAAATTTTCTAAGAGTCCTCTTCATATTTGTAAGGTGAGTGGTGACCCCATGAATGTCATACACCTGTAAAGTATTTATAAGTTTTAATTTCTTTTTTGTTTAGTTGTACACATTAATCCCAGAACATTTCAGTTTTTATCCCCATAGTATCTAAGTTATGCTCAAATTGCTTGACAATTGTGAACACTTTGCTAACTTGTAATATATTTGTGTACCGTATATACAAAATTTCCCCCATCCATGTTTGCTATTAGGATGTGTGCCAGATTTTCTTCCTGGCAATTGGAAAAAAAGAAATAGGGCTTTTCAGAATTGAGTATTAAATAGAAATTATATCCGCAGGTGAAGAAAGAGGAAATGGAGGTGACTGATGATCCAGTGAAGGAAGAAACTATAGATGAGACAACAGTATTGGATGTTCCAGAAAACCCTCCACCCTCACAGGTCGGTTTATTTATTGGTCACATAATTTTTATACCATGATGTAACCCCTTGTGTACCATGATCTAGCTCCTTGTGTACCATGATGTAACCCCTTGTGTACCGTACCATGATCTAACCCTTGTGTACCATGATCTAGCTCCTTGTGTACCATGATATCACCCTTGCATACCATGATCTAGCTCCTTGTGTACCGTGATCTAACTCCTTGTGTGAAGATGTGATGAATATGCTGGTAATTCCCACTAGTTAACACCACACATTTGGGTATGCTACTGAGAACTATATGAGAGAGCTGATCTTGTCCCTGTGTAACAACTGTGGGTCTTATTAAAAATTTGGACTGTGTTCAAATTTTTTTAAACTTGCATTAAAGATACAGTTTTTCGTGCTGATTTTAAATGTGAAACTCACTGTTTTGCGGAAATGTTTTATTTGTGACTTACAGGTCTATGAATCAGAAGTGCTGGCCAATCATGCTTAACATAAGCTCGTACAAATTTTGCCCTTTGTGATGCTGGCGCCACATAAACTCACACAGGTACCCATCCAACATTTGGCGATGGGTACCGGCTTGTTTGTTAGGTTGGGTAAAAAACAGACACTGTTACCGCAAAGAAATGCCAATAAAATGTAAAATATTTATTCCCACAAAAAATTAGTTGCATACTTAGAATTACCATAAATAACTGTACTAGTGACAAATATTTAAAAAAAAATTATGACAGTCCAATTTGTTTATAAGATCCACAACTGCTATATAGCTTGTTGAGATAATCTACTACACAGGCATCCCGTCATCCTGTCACAAAGCACTAGAGTAAATATGTCAATAATGAATAAAACTATATTCATAATAAGTCACTGTGACACACACACACACACACAAAGGACCCACGTCCTGAGAAGGGAACACACAATTTGTCTCAACTACATCCAGCATTCTACTGGAATGGAGGTGGCATAAGAGTGTTGACTTAGGGCATCATGATGTATTGGGGTGTGTCTGGAACTTTCAAGAAAGAACACTACAGGAAGTAATGGTACATAACCTGCATTTTCATCCTTATGGATTATGTGTACCAAATCTGGAGGATCTATTTCAAGAGGCTTGATCTACAATTGTCACCTAGTGACCTAAACCTTCAGATTTTGCTTACGTTTTTTATGTTCATAACATATGGTCTTAAGTTATTAATTTGTTTGTTTTCTCCACAGGGCTATCAAGAGAAGAGGACTGATGAGAATGGTAAAGTTTTGGATAAAACTAATTTGATAGAAATAGGGAGTGGAAGAACTACTAACATTTATGTATGTACAGAGTGTAATAAGGTGTTTAAGAGACCAGACCTTCTAGAAATGCATAAGTTGAGCCATATTGAAGCAAAACTCTTATCCTGTCCTGAGTGCCCATACAGGAGTCTTAGTCAAGCCAAATTGAATATTCATATCGTACAACATTGTAAAGCAAGGCCATATGCTTGTCCTTACTGCTCAGCTCGCCATTTGTATGAAAAACAACATGTCACACACCAGAGGAAAGCTCATCCCAAAAAGAAGGTTATTATTGATGTTCCCCCAATAAGAAGATCACGGGATGCTCATAAAATGAAAAATCGACTCAGTTATGAAAGTATCACATCATCACCACCACCATCACCACCAGTGAACAATAGCAAACCTTCAGAAACTGACATGTCACCATTACCTGCATCAGAGACCAAGAGAAGCAGCCATATAAGCCCTTCACCATCACCAACAGCAAAGGTTCTTAACAGTCCAAAATCCAGTGCTTCCTCATCACCTCCATCAAAAGTTCCTGAATTCACCATCATGTCACCGTCACCACCACCACCAGACTGGCCAAGACATACAAGATCCAATTCTTCATCACCTCCATTAAAAGTTCGTATAGTCAGAAGGGGGAACATGTCACCAACACCTCCACCTCCACCAAAGAATCCCAAAAAATCTAGTTCCAGGGGCTCATCATCATCACCATCACCAAGAAAAGTTCGAAGAAGCAGTAGGGTGGTCACATCCCCATCACCTCAACTGAACCTGCCAAAGGATTATCGATCTAGCTCGTCTTCCTCACCACCATCAAAAATCAGGCGAGTGAAAAGGTTGAGCATATCACCTTCCCCACCATTAGAGTTCTCAAGGAGTTCTAGCTCATGTTCTTCCTATGCATCTAAAACTCCTGAGTACAGTCCTTCACCCTCACCACCACCACCCAAGGTTTTAAGAAGCTCAAGAACTAATACTCTGACTGGATCCTTGAGACGTAAATCTCGAGAGAAGTGATAAGTACTGTACACTATAGAGAAAGTGGTGATTGAAAGAGCATATTTTCGTAAGTTTATTAATTAATGTTCTTTTTTATGATCTTTTTTTTATCTCATACAAACAATACCTAGTTCATCACATAAGAGAATTTAATGTTCAGTTTCCAAGAGCTCAAATTCAATATCAACTAGTCATAATTAAGTTTGGTGAGAATAGGATATACAGTACAGTACTGTCCTGTATATAATAATTTTTATCAACATTTACAGTTTGCATATACCTGTACAGTACAGTATAAAAAATAATCTTGATTTTTTTTTTTTTTTTTGGGGTTATATTTCTCATCCAGGCTTCTAGTTCTCAAGTGAAGTAATTTTAAGTAAAGATGATAAAAGGTGTAAATAGGCACTGTGCAGTATACAGTATATACTGTACCTGTCCAGTACTTAGTTTACATGATTTAAACTTTTTATAGGTATTGTTACAATTTACAGTAAGAAGTATATATTATTAAGTAGAGCTTTGGAGCATCACCTTCCAGTTGTCAGGCCTTGCACCATAAACTGGTTCTAACTTGAAATACAGAAACTTTGATTTTCAAGGATATTTGTAGGGCTGGCAGGAGTAGGATAGAGATCTTATATTTTGGAGACAAGAGCTTGAGTTTTATGGACATGAAACTTTTGGGTACTGCCAGCTGATGTTTCTTATTGATGGTTCATTTTGTGTTACAGTACCTGTGTCATCTTCCGTCTTCACTGTGCTTTTCTACTAAAATATTTTAGATAAAGTTTCAGATAACATAGCAGGTATGTAATTTTGCCAGGAGATGGTCTGAATTTGCATATATTGTATGTATGGTAATTATAGCCTATTTAAAGACTACCTGGTAACAGTAAATTAAATTGCACATTTCCTAGGGAATCTCGCTCTCTCTCTCTCATTTGTTTTGGGTATGTCATTGTATTTGTAATGCACCAAAAGCTTAAGTTGATGAAAATATTACTTTGTGTATGTCTGAGTTTGAGATAAATCTGTCTGGTCCACTTAGATTTGAGCACATTTACCTGGTGTATAAAGGAAATTAATTATGGTGATCTGAAAGTGCTTGATAAAGTAAATTAGTCACAATAATTATCACAATATTAACTTATATTTAATTAAATAGCTTCTTTCCTGTTTCAACTCAGACAGTGGGGAACCTGGCTTCAAATCCTTTGTCAAGTCATACTTTAGGTTTCTTATGCCTTTCTACTTATATCTTTTTCATTTATTATTTCTCTCCTGCTCTGGGAGGCCAAGTGTTAATACCATACCAACTGATTATTTTCTGTTATGGATTAATTTACTGTATCCTCTGTAGTTCTTATGTCTATTCCATTTATTTACATTTCTTTTTGTGGTTTGTCTGGTCTTAGCACACTGCTTGTGAAAGGCTGCAAGTTTGTGCACTCTTTGTTTTCATATCAGATAAACTATTATAATCACAATTTCTTAGTTTATTTTATTTTTTTCATTCAGCTAACAATTTATGTTAGGCAACAAGCCACCAGGGAAATACCTATTAATTCTTGGGGGTGTTTTGAGGATATCAATGACATACTCAATGTACCATGCGAATAAATTTCTAATTGCAATACAGTAATCAGTTTTGTTTGCATACAGATGCTGGTGCTATGATTTTAATTTCAGTGTTTTTGTTGTCATTTCCTACTCTTGGAAGATTGTAGTTCCGGTCCTAACTATTGGTGCTCAAAACTTAAAAAAATAGTATAGATATGTACGTAAAGGTCATTCTTCCGAGTGTTTGATTCAGAGAAGTTGTTCTCCCTGTGTGTAACCTTCTCGTCTATTATTTGAACTAATTTCAGGTATAAAACTTTGCAAAGCATATTTGTCTAGTTAACCTCGGTGGAGTCTAGTCATAAGATTTCCTAATTGTGAGAGGTACAGTAGTGAGGAGATTGATGGTGAATAAGAATGATAGGTGACAGTGTACAGAGTTTTCACGACTAAACTTCGGGTCTTTGAGCATTTTTGTGAGGAATAAAACTTATTAATTACTTCTACATTTATACTTGCCTAGTGTTGGAACAAACATTTTATTTATTAATTTTTTTAGGTCGATATCTTAACTTAACTTAACTACCTGGTAGTTAAGCTATGTTAAACTAAAAAATATTAAAATATTAAAATTTTGTTTTGACATTGTAACACAGTACAGACTGTACATACAGTATTATGTAGAGGGGAAAAATAGTTCTGGATACACACATATGAAAAGGAAAAAGGGTTTACTTTATAAAGAAATGCTACATTACCCATAATTTTACTGTCTTGTCAATTATTACTTAATTATTTTGGATTTACAGTATGTTGATCCTTGTAGAATATAACAGTGTTTGTTGTTATTTATATGTAATCAAGCAACACAGTCTAAATTGTCTCTTGATTATATTTCTCAGTGCAATGATTTGTAAAGGATAATCAGTTTAATGTAATGTTTGATTTAATATTTTTTTATTTACTGGTATACAGGTATATATTTCAGTTATTGTTGGAGCATTATGTCCAGATCTTTATCCATTTCTATGACTAATTGATACTAACCAGAGTGGCCTCTTGATGGAGAAGATATATTCTATGTTATTATTAGTTTTATGAGGTGTGATGATTCAAAGTACAGTACAGTACTCTGTATGTACAATGTTTCTTCTCACTAAAGACTACTGTGAGAAGATTATTGTATTTCATTTTACAGTTCAACATTTCAAGCCCTAATTAAGTCTTTTTTATTTATGGCTAGTGGGTTAGAGATGTATTGAACTGTTTCTTATGTTAAATTTAATTAAGTGGAAATTACTGTTTATATATTTATCTTGATCAAGAAGTATACTGTATATATACTGTATGAACTTTATATTTGCTTTACAGTGCCTATGGATACATTTCGTATATGTTGTTTACGCTCTTGTGTCAAGTTGGACTCAATTGATTGCAATTTTTGTTCCTTAACAGTAAGAGAAGGGACAATACCTGCATTAGACATACAGTATTTAGCTAACTGCAAGGAGTCCCCACACATAGTTTTGAACTTTTGTTACATATTTTACATAACACTTGATAGTTTAGAGCTCTATAGTCAATGTTAAGGATTGTTATTTTTAAAGTAATTGGTATATTATTATGTTACAGAAAGCTTAACAGTCTTGGAGGTGAGATAACAGGCATTGCTTCTCTTGACATAATACGTCAGTGGCATATATTACAAACATGCAGAAAGACTTAAAAAAAGTTTTGTGAAGATATACTGATTACTGTATAATTTATTATATATGCAGCATAATTCTTGAAATTTGAACTAGAGTAATGGTTAGTCATTATCCATCTCAAATCATGAATTTTTTTGAGAAAATAGATTTTATTATTTGCTTACATTGTGTTTTAATGTGGCTAAGTTTACATTTTTATGTTATTTACATGTGAAGGAGCAATGATTTATGTTTTAAAAGAAAATTGTAACTGCTAGTTACATCAAAATAATTTAACCAAGTAATGGTGTTAATTTTTTGCTGAGTGCCATCAACCAAGCACTTCTTGTTAATTCCATAGCCATTTTTGAGTTTCAAGGGCAATAGAATGCCCCCCATCAATCCCCATTGCAACTATCCCCATTAAATTGAGTGGATTGGAAGCAAAGGTTACCTTCTAGAGAAGTGGTTCTTAACCTAAGGGCGTGTTGTTTTTGTCTTTCAAGGGGGCTGCTAAGGATTTAATATATTTCTGACTTAGAATATATATTCACACTGAAATAAACTCGAAATTAAAAAATTGGCACAGTGATGTAGGGCAGGGAAATTTTTTTTTTTAATCTCAATATTAATTTTGTGTGGTTTTGCCAGAGATGTCAATCTATTTTAGGGGTCCCCCACGAGGATAATATATATATTTTTTTCAATTTAAAGAAGATGTGATTCTGTACAAAGATAACTTAAAATGAAAAATAAGATGCAAAAACAGTGGCAGTGTTTGAACTCTTATCAGAGCTGCATTTCTGCTTGACTGAGGGACACCGTTACTATAATGTGTGGTTTTCCAGTTTATTTTACGCACTTCCAGAGTAGCTACAAATGTATATGGTGCTTAGTCAATTAAACCCCTGTTTGTATATTTGGATTTAGAAATTTGTTCTTAGGCTCTTTGGGGATCCAGGGGGGAGGGAGTGTCATGTATTCAAGGTTGATTGTTATTCTAGAGGCAATAGGTAAAATTAGGGCTTTATCTTCCTACTCAGCACTGTACTACCTTCGCACCGTCTTGATCTCTGCTATTTTTATTCTTAGTTCATCTCCATAAGTCACCCACAGAGAGCAGATGTCTCTCTCCATCTTTACCTTACTCATGAAGAACTAAATATCTTGTCCCAATATTGTGACAATGTCAGAAGTACAGAAGGTAGTGGGGGGTTAACTGTAGCTCTGCAAGTTATCATGGGGTAAGAATGAGATTTACAATATCTGTAGCCATATTATTTTGTAAGAGTTGTTAACATGAGTTTGGGGAGATGTGCATTAATGCCTGTATTCATGAGCAGTGGCGTCTCGTGGTAAAATAAAATGGATGGACTACAAGCTTCACACAACAGTAAGGTACACAATTTTGACCTTTTATTACAATATATTTGTTAGTTGTGTATTATTTTGCTATGTGTCTGAAGGAATCATACACCTGGCAGTGAGTGTCTGGAGGGGGGGGAAACTGCAGCTCCACTGTTCATGAGTGTCTATAGGATGGCAGTGGACTGGTACAGTTGCGGAAATGTGTTCCTACACCCCCTGGGGTAACCCATGTCTCCAAACACTAACGTCGCAGTGGTAGTAATACAAGTATCACTATTTATGAAAGAATGGGTATTGGTAGTGTAACGAACGGACATGATTGATGGATAGGTTTGCTATAGGTCACACAGGTTGGCCATTTTCAGACCCGGGTTACCACAGGGGGGATAGGAACACATTTCCGCAACTGTACCTCATTCCACATTTTTAGGTGGTTCGGATTTACTAAGGCTGGATGTGATCCCATGTAGGTTGATTCTGATGTGAGCCAGCAAATGGTTTTCAACATAATATACAATCCTTGTGGGTTTAATTCAGAACTACTACTAGCATTCCCTGTTCTGTTGCTTCCTGGGTAATTTTAGGCATTTACAGAACTTTTAATTTTCCTGGATAAATCATAAATAGACAATTCAGGGCTCTAATAATAAGTTTAGTTCTTTCAGTGATTAGACTTTCAATA